CTCTCTCTCTCTCTCTCTCTCTCTCTCTCTCTCCCCCCCCCCTTTCTTTTTCTATCTTCCTTTAATACTTCCTACATCCATTCATTTTCAGCAGGTTTTATAGGTCCCAAAGTCTGCAGTGGTTGATTTAAAATAATTTACATAAAAGCAGGTCTTAGTATTATCAGCATGTGCTTCATAAACTGGGACTCAAGGAATATCCTAAACACAGTAATTTGGATATAATTCATATGAGCCTTCAAAATAAACCACCATATTATTCACAGTTCTCATATCGCTGTTTAAGCTGCTACTGCCTAAGCAATGCTGTTTCATTAACATAAGAGACATGTAAATTTGCTTTCTCTTTGCTTTTGTGTAGTAGTGTGGCCAAGGGAAGTTTTGTCTGGCTAAGGATTTCAGGATGAAGCTTTTAATTCAGTGGTTCCCCAAGCTGTGGTTTATGGCAGCATGATTCCTGTAAGACCCTCTGATGTTGCTTATGACCATGGGAAGTTAAAAAGCTAAAACTGAGATCACCACCACCGGAGTCCAGGTTGAATATACCATGCAGCATATATTATTTGTTTGCAATAAAGAGATGCAGTTGTGAGTCTGAAGTTAGGCAGAAAGCAGGGCAGGGTGGCATCTTATAGCATTTGACAAAGTAGCCTGTAGCCTACAAAAGCTCCTGCCTATCTGTACATGTTATTCTATAAGGTGCCACCCTGCCCTGCCTTTTGCGCCCCCACAGACCAGTGAAAGCATAGGACCACTGCTTTAAAAATATATCACTTAGTTAACCATTAAGGATTTCAGGACTTTTCTATAACAGGTTTTGCAAACCCTTTTAGAACTGTTTTTCCTGTATAGACTATGTGGAAATTGGTTAATTGTATTGAATTCTCTGAAGTTTCTTCAGTTAGACATTTTGGCCTCCTATACACATACAGGGACCTGGCTGCTACATTGCGCTGCTATTACAGCGCATCAGAGCAGACACAATTAATCGAGTCTGCTGGAACGTGATAATTACTGTGCTCCAGCAGACTCCAGCATCGTGTGTTTATCAGCATCCCCGCACTGAAAAATGGCAGCAAGGCACTTTAAACTAAAGCTTGTTTGATAAACTTAGTTCAAAGTGCTCTGCCACCTTTTTTCAGCACAGGGATGCTGATACATGTGACGCTCTGGGCACTTTAATTAGCATGGCTCCCAGATCTGCTCTAATTCAAGGGCCCCCTGCCTCCCAGAGAACATATATAAATGCCCTTTTATGTTTTTCATTAAACCCAAAGGAAACTCCACAAATCATTGAAGACTATTTTAGGCTTAGTGGCAATATATCGTATTTGCTTGACCAAGGTTTGCATAAGAGAAGAGGCCAAGGAAATAAACAAATGAGAGAATGGTGAGGATAATTGTACAGAGTGCCAGAAAGACAGGTCAAAAGAAGTAGGCTAAAGGTTGCCCAGAGTGCATTTAGCAGTTTTATGGTATTTAAATCTGATTTTAGCCAAGATATAGCTTAAATAGAGAATAAAAATACATTTCTAATTATACTGGAACCTATTAAATAGGGATTAAATAGGTTTGAATTTGAGTAGGACCTAGTAGAAGCATTTTTATATGTTTAGCCTTATCTAGTAAGCTTTAGCCAGGCAACAGAGTATAAAAATCTAGGTCCACTTTGGAATCTTCACTCTTTGGTCTTGAATTACAGTTCTTGCTGACTTGCTCACCTCCAGGAGTGCCTGCTTAGTGTTTTTTAAGAACATAGTTTCTGAGACCTAGGTAAGAAGTCCTTTTCCCCTAACAGGCTGGCCACTTGTTGGAGGCTTTTCTACAACTTTAGAACTTAGGAAATGTAAGAGTAATTTCTTTTAAATATTAATATAGTTGATATTTCTTTGGATTGAAGTGTATTTTATAAATTTTAATAATTTGCTTGATATGCCTTACCTGTATGGTTTGCTTATTTATATCTTGTCTGTATTTCATTATTAAATTTGCTATTAACATTTATCTATATTTATAGTTCTGTATATTTAATTTTGGTGAGACTACCTATTTGAACCTTTCTTCATTCCCAAAATACCTCTGGAGGTTATCATCATGCATCTTCTTCAATTTTCTATATTGTGGGTAACCCTTTCTTCAAGAGCTCACCTCTGCATCTTTAAAAAAATTAAGTGAAATTCAAAAAGAAGAGTAGCTTTCAGTCTTGCTGGGTGCATCTACATGTTCATTATTAATGTGCCTTAGATACTGCACATTTAGTTTAGTACTTGCTTAGTAAAGTACTAACGAAATGCACAGCAATTAGACTTACTGTGCAGTAGCGCCATCACACAGGTGTTTTGTGATGCTTATTGTGCATTAGCCTAATAACACTGCCCAGCAGCCTATTAGCATGTTTTTAATTGCCACGCTACTGCACAGTGATATTAAACTAATGTGCAGTAAGTGCCTCGTGTAGATATGCCTGCTGTTT